TGCTGTTGCTGTTGCTGTTGCTGCTCGCATCCACCTTGCTCAGCCCAGGCGGCGCTGGCGACGCAGACCGAGCCTTGTCCGCCGCATCGCTCGCACGCGCCGCATCCACTCCGGACTTGATGGGCGTCGATGGCGCACCTACCGCTGCGGACAACGCCGACGTAGCTCCATTCGCAGACGCCGCACCATTCGCATCCGTCGAGTCGTTGGCGACCGGCGCGGTTGCGGCGGATGGCGAAGAAACCGCATGGTCGTTGGTGCTCGCCGTGGCACTGCTTGCCACGGCTGCCGCTGCCGCCGCCGCATACCTGATGGGTGGAAGCGGCGCAGCGCTCGGTGCCTTGGGTGGCGAAAGCACGCCAGATGGCGACGCTGCCGGTGCCTTGGCCTGCGCAAAGTTGGCCGTAGGCACCGCCTTCTCCTTGGGCACCGCCACCGCCTCCTGCGACGCCTTCTTCGTCGTCTTCTTGGCCGCTGGTGGCGCCGGTGACGCTGCAGGCTGCGAGGCTGTCGACGAGGCCGCAGCTGCAGTGGCCGCCGCCGCCGCCGCTGCTGCCGCATCCTCCTTCTTCGCATGGCTGCTGCTGCCGCTGTCCTTGTCCTTGGTGTTGGATGTGCTGCTGCTGGTGGTGAGGATGGCGGTGTCCTTGTTGGTGCTGGTGGTGGAGGTGTGGGTGTCTGCAAGGCTGTCGCGTCGCTGCTTGGTGGGCGTGTCCTTGAGGTCGCGGAAGCTGAGGTCGTCCATGCCGGCGGTCGAGTCGTGGTTGCTGTGCAGGTCGTCGTTCTCCTTGAGGCCGAACGCCTCTTCGCCGTCGTCGAGGTTGAGGTCGTCGTAGATGCCCTCGTCCTCCTCAAAGTCCTCCTCCATGTTGGATTCGACAAAGTAGGCAATGTCCTCCTTGATGTCCTGCACGCGCTCGGTGTCCAGGTTGCCGTTTTCGAGCATGCGCAGCAGGATCTCGAGGCGCGACATGTGCCAGTTGCGCCGGTCGTTGGCGTTTTCGAGCTGCGAGGCGCGCTCGTCCTTGGCGGAGCCCTTCTTCTTCTTGCCCGAGCCCGAGATGGTCTCGATCTCGGCCTCGGCGGCCTCGGTCTGGCGCGCCAGCTCGTCGACCTGGGTGGAGAGCCAGTCGGAGATCTCTGCCTTTTCGCGGTCGCGCGGATTCATCTTGGCGGCGGCTATGAGGCCCTCTTTGGAGAAGGCCTTGGTCTTCATCTCCTTTTCGATGGCCTTGAACTTTTCCATCTGGGTCTCGATGAGCTTGCGGTTGTCGAGCAGCGGCTTCTTGTCCTTGATGTCGTTGCTCTGCAGCCACGTCTTGATCTGGTCGCGTAGACGCTGCAGCTTCTTGATCTGCGTCTTGAGATCCGACTCCATCTTTTCCTTTTGTGTCGAGTTGTTGGAGCGCTGCAGCAGCTCGTACATGTCTTCAAAGATCTCGACACCCTCGCCCACCTTTTTCAAGGTCTTGTCGATCTCTGTCTGCAGCTTTCTCGCCGCCATGCTGGACGAATGTGTGGCTCGGCTCTAGCGGAGCGCGGAGCTGGAATGGTGGTGAGGTTCGAGGCGATGCGGGGCAGGCGCCAATGCGGAGCGCAGTGTGGTGGTGGCAATGGTGGTGGTGGTGACGTAGCTGCTGCTGGTGTCGATGCGTCAAGGTGGTGGATGGAGGGGTGATGTGGGGTCGTGGCGTGGAGGAAGGTGTGATGCTCGACACTACTCTGCGGTTTGGATGAGTGGATTTGGAAAGTGGACTTTTGCAGCTGCGCCCAATGCTGGCTGGCTCAGGCGTTGCAGGCGGCTGGCTGGGTGGCCAACGCGCGCCCGATCCCCACCCTCCTGGCTCTGCGCTCTGGCTCTCTCTCCCCTTCAAAACGGATGCGGACCCAGCTCGAGAGAGACCCAATCACAGCCTGGGCGCGGCGCTGGATTTCTCGCGCGAGACAAACTCGGATCGAAGGCGCGAAGAATTGCGAGAGCGAAAAAGTGGATTTTGGCTGCAAGCCGGCCAGCTTGGTTGGCATTGGACAGCTCCATCGTCGTTGTTGCCTCTGCACCCAACCTCTCCGCTTCGCATCTACACCACAGACACCACAGCGGGAGGCACACAGAACATCGACAATGTCCGCTCAACGAAGCTCCAAGCCGCTGACGGCGCTGTTCAAGTCGCTCAGGCTCGGCGCCAACCCTTCGACAACATCGGCATCGCCCATCGCGTCCAGCAGCCGATGCTTCTCCTCGTCACACATTCCTCGTGCCGCCTCCAAAGCAGCGGTGGCTGCCAAGACACCGCAGCGATGTAAGTCCACGCTCCACTGCAGAGGCATGCTCGTCCACACTCCAGCTGACCCGATCCTCCGTACGCTCTGCTCTGCATCCACAGCCGCAACCTATCCGTTCTCGTCGGCGGCCCTCATCCCGGAAGTACCCGAGTTCATCTCGACGAAGCAGGGCGTCAAGCCACCCCCACAGGCCAAGAGCGTTCTGTCCGGTGTGATGCCGCGCGTGCACTCGGAACTGCGTGCGCGCTACGACCCGGGCAACCGCCTGACCAAGCTGTTCGACCGCCACTCGCGCGAGCGCATCCCGCCGGGCTCGGTGCTCATCGTCGAGTCGTGGACGTCCCCGCTCAAGACCAACTTCTCGTCGTTCTCGGGCGTGCTCATCGCCGTGCGCCGGCGCGGCGTATCGACCTCGTTCGTGCTGCGAAACCTGGTGCAGAAGCTGGGTGTCGAGATGCGCTTCAACCTCTACTCGCCGCTGCTCAAGGACGTGCGTGTCATCCAGAAGGCAGAGGCGGGCAAGAACGACAAGTCCGGCAAGCTGCGCAGGACGAGGCGCGCCAAGCTCTACTACCTCCGCAACGACGATAGGCGCCTCGCCGGTATCGGCAACGTCATCAAGCAGCAGCGCCTCCTCGAGGAGAAGCGCGCACAGGAGATTTCAAAGCGTCGCGGCGGACGCAGGTGATGCCGAGCTCACTTCCAGACTGTCTGCCTTCGTCGAATGGCAAGTGCGTTTTCATTGTGACAATGCCCCCGCAAGGCGGGTTGCCGCTCGATGCGGTGTGCAATCTGGCCATCGGTGCAAATCGGGAGAGACGGTGAGGGCTGAGAGTGAGATTTGGCCAAGAATAATGCGCTGCTGGGCCGACTTTAGATTATCAAATCCAGCCCCAAAAGCGCCGACAAAATTAAAGGATTTAAGGCTCGACCGGCTCGACTCGACTTGGAGGTAAAGCAGCGTCGAATAGCGCCTTAGCAACACCTCATCGAAGCCTTGCTTCTTGCCTGCCAACCAGCAATCACATCGACCACTGGAGGCTCACGATGGCTGCTCACATGGTGCCCAGGCTCGGCATCAGGCTGGCATCGCATGCCCTGGTGTCGCACACATCACGACCGTTGGCCGCCGCCTTCCAGCGCTCATTCGTCGCACTTGCCCGTCGCTCCTCCCTATCCACCCTCGCCAACGCTTCGCCATTTTGCTCCGTATCGACAACCACAACGACACTGCTACAGATGCGACGATCCGCATTGAATTCCGCACCGCTGTCTTGTTCTGTTGTCCTCACCGCTCTCGCTCGTCACCAATCGACCGCTGCGGCGACACCGGCCGATTACGCCTCAACCTCCTCCGCCGACTCGACGACCAGCTCGACACGCACCGAGTCGTCAGCACCCGCGGCATCGAAACCCGTCGTCGCACTGCATCTGTATGCACTCGCGTTCCTCGTGTATGCCATCGTCGTCGTCGGCGGTCTGACGCGCTTGACCGAGTCGGGCCTGTCGATCACCGAGTGGAATCCCGGCTTCAAAGGTATGCGTCTGCCCATCACCACGCCCGAGTGGGAAGCCGAGTGGGACAAGTACAAGCAAACGCCCGAATTCCACCTGCTCAACTCCAAGATGTCGCTCGACGACTTCAAGGCGATCTACATGTGGGAGTGGGGCCACCGCGTCTTGGGCCGCGTGATCGGCGTCGCATTCGTCCTGCCCGCCGCGTACTTTGTCACGCGTCGATGGGTTGCGCCGGGCACGCGGTGGAAGCTGGCTGCCATCGCAGCGGGTATCGGCTTCCAGGGCTTCTTGGGTTGGTTCATGGTCAAGTCCGGTCTCACGGCGCCCGAGCCGAGTGGCAGGGCAAAGACGGTTCAGGTCGAGGGAGGCGAGCTTCCCACCTCGGCCGCACAGACGAGTGCCGCAGCGGCAGACTGGACACCGCGCGTGTCGCACTTTAGACTGGCTATGCACATGGGTACAGCCTTCCTCGTGTATCTCGCAATGCTCCATACCGGTCTGGCGGTCCAGCGCGACTACAATGCGGCTAACCTTGGTGGCCGAGTGTCCGGGGTGCAGGCTCGCACACAGGCGGTATTGACGCAGCTGGCCAATACGCTCAACCACCCACTGCTGCGCACCCACTCGCGGCTCACCAAGGCGGTGGTTGCGCTGGTATTTACCACCGCCATGTCCGGTGCGCTCGTAGCAGGCCTGGATGCGGGGCTGGTGTACAACGAGTTCCCCACCATGGGCGAGGGTCGAATCGCCCCACCCATGCACGAGCTGATGGACGACCGCTACTCCCAGCGCGACGACGGCTCCGACAGGGTGTGGAGAAACCTCGCGCAGAACCCGGTTACCGTACAGCTGATTCACCGTACGCTCGCGGTGACCACGGCGTGTACCGTGCTGGCGCTGGCATGGAAGACGCATCGTCTGTCGCGCGCCTACACTGCCGCTGCACGTGTGGCTTCCACCCCCGTGCTGCCCACAATGCCGCCACGAGTAGTGCAGCTCGCCAATGCCTCGGTGGCAGTGGTGGCAGCCCAGGTGACTCTGGGCATTTCAACGCTCATCTACATGGTGCCCATCCCACTTGCCTCGGCGCACCAAGCTGGTTCGCTCGCCCTCCTCTCTGTCCTCGTCGCCCTCATCTCGGCGCTGCGTCCCATCCCCACACGCATCCTTGCCCAGGCAGCCACCCGCCACACCAGCATCCTCCGAAAGGTCGTCCACCCCACCCCCGCACTCAAACCTTAGACCCTCTCATTCGTCTGTACTTGTATCTGCACTCCCACCACTTTTCAAATGAATCGCTATTACTGGTACAAATACAACGAGTGGGGATGCTAGCCTTTGAACTTGTACTTGGCACGCAGGTGTTCTCCGTACCTGTACAGGATGATGGGGACTGGGAGGCCGAGGAGGCCGATGCCGGCGAGAAGAGTGCACGACCACGCATAGCCGAGGCCTTCGAACATGTACTCTGCACACAGCGGGAATGCTGCCGCCAGCACCGAGCGCACCAGTACCGCACATGCCGTGGCCGAGGCCGAATACGGCACGAATGCATCCACGAGATACACGAGGATCGTCTGGAAGCACAGGATCGTCGCGCATCCCACGAGGAACGATCCCACCAGCGGCACAATCCAGTGCGTCTGGTTGGCTGCACTCCATCCGAACGTCGTCAATCCCACAGGCAGGATGAGCATCCCCACAAGGCACAGTGGCAATCTATACTCCGGTCGACCTTTCTTAACCTCTGCAAGGGGGATGGAGGATGGCAGTTTGTCCGGATTGACGGTGGGCGTGACGTTGCCAAAAGCCGAATTGGCTCCTTCGGCTCCAGCATCACTGAGCCGCTTTGGCTGTTCCACATCATCCCCAGTATCGCGTCGGTGGCGCAGTGTACGCTCGAATGCGCTGCGACGGTAAAAGATGAACCATCCCACCCTGCCGTCGGCTTCCACCAGACGCGCATAGATCTCGTCCTGCAGCAGCGCATTCGTGAACGCCGCCACAAGAAAGCCGAGCCCCAAACCGAGGTACGACAGCCCCGAAATGCCCAGTGTCCAGTTGTACGTCGGCAGCTTCTGTGGCGACGGCGCATCCGGCTCGTCCTTGCGCGTCTGGAATAACAACGGATGCTGCGTGATAAAGAGGTAGATGATGCCATAGCAGAATCCGAGGTAGTACGAAAAGATCGCACAGATCGGATTGGTAAACAGCAGCCGGAACGGTCGCGACTGGGCCAGCTTGAGCTTGTGCAGGATCGCCCGGCTCGGCAGCCATCTTTGCACCGCCATGGCCAGTCGGCTCTTCTTGACCTCTGCCTCGACCGCCGAGGAGTGGTTTGCGTCTTGGATCTGTTGGAGCCGTTGGGCGATGGCACGTTCGCGCTTCTTGCGCAGCAGCACGGGTGCATACGTCTCGTCCAAGAACAGCACGATCACGACGAACACCGCGCCGGACAGGATCGTCAGCGTATGCAGAAGCCACCTCCAATTGCGAGTGCCCGCTGCAATGAAGCAGCCCAAAATCGAGCCCAGCACGGGACCCATGAGTGGCCCGAGGCCGTACAGCGACTGCGCACGACCGCGCTCCTTGGGTGCAAACATGTCGCCGATGCTACCTGCGCCCAAACTCGGACCGGTACTGCCCGCGGCGCCCGCAAAGAAGCGCAGCACGTTGAGCGCCGCAAAGCTCGGACTGAACGCCGACGCCAGGTTGAACGCAATGAACACGGCGCTCGTCACCACGTACACCGGCTGCCGTCCCACCGTCTCGGAGCACGGCGCGAGGATGAACGGCCCCACACCCAGGCCCATGACGAAGAGCGATACGGGGAGCACCGAAAGCGTGCGCGATCCGAGGCTGAAGCTGTGGTCGACGAAGCCGTTGCCCGGCACGAGGATCGACGAGCCGAGCGGAGAGATGAAGCCCATGAGCGAGATGATGAGTGTGGTGCCCCACTTCTTGGCGTGCGACCAGTGGCGCGAGTCCTCGCTGCCCTCGAGTGTGATCGCCTCCACCTCGGCGGGTGTCAAGGGCAGCATCGGTGTCGAGGCTGCAGCCATCGACTTGTGCGCATCCTGTGCTGGTGGTGGTGCTTGGCTCGCATCTGTCTGCGTGTGGCTGATCGTCTTCAGCGAGGGCGGTATCGACGTCGCCATGGTGAAGAATCACTGCCAGTATACGGCGTCACGTTCGAATAGCACTGGCGTCAAGATGCGCGATTGAGGTGAGCGCTGTAGACCGGGTTGGCCGCAGGGATCACGACGACATGGCGGCTTGCACTCGACGAGGTGGTGTATATGAATCGGAAAGCGCGCAGATCGAGCGGAGTGGTAGTCGGATGCAAGGCGTCTATCGAAGACTTGCGCGCTACTGCGTCGAGCCGGCGGCAAGGCTCGAAGCAGAGCGAATGTCGAGACCACGCGGTCTGTGCCGGACGCCTAGATGGGAGAGCCGCACTATGTGCCGGCAAGGTTGGACTACGGCTCGAAGCGGACGTCTGTTGGAGCTGGCTGGCAGGATTCGCTGGCCAGTGGACGGCGAGTAGCTGCAGGATGCCGTGACGCAGCGAGCTATGGACGCCGAACTGCAGCCAGACAGCAAAATTGGCGTGAAGATGGTCGAATCCACTTGGGCCAGCAGCGCCTAGGATAGCGTGCGATGAAACGAGCTAAGCGTGCCAGCTAGACGAAAAGGAACGAGGCAAGGTCGCGGTTGAGGCGGGTGAAGGTTGCGGCGAGCCTATCCATGGTGGCGAGCGCTGACGGCAGAAGCAGTTCGGCCGCTGCGCGAGTTCGGCAAGGGCATGAAAACGAAGCCGCACGCCGGGGGCGGGCAAGCGCGGCGGCGGCAGGCAAGTGACCAGCGTGAGAATGCGACGGCACAAGGTTTGCGAGCACCGCATGCCGGACACCGGCTCCCAGCACGGCGAGATGATGCACGTCTCGAAAAGAAGCCGACGGTTCGAAGCCCACCGCTGTCTCCGCTCGGTCCTCCTAACCCCACCGCGCTCCCCTCCCTTGGCCCGCAATCACTCGCACTTACTCACCACTTACCCTTGCAAAAGCCGTTTGGCCATCCAAGGCCAGACCTCAGCCTCGTGGCTGCTAGGAGACTCGACCATGCGTGCAAGAGCACGACGATGATGATGATCCAAGCTTGCCGCTGTGGGATGCCGAGAGTGCGAACCACGGCTGCCGAAGTTTGGGGGCTCGCACGAGCTGCGTGTGCGCGTCTGCGGGGTCCAAGGGGCGGCTTCGGCAGGCGGTGTAATGCTGGTATTTGCGCATTTACGCCCTTGAGCCGTGAGATTGTAATGCGCATTTCGAGGCGCGTTGCCGTTACGGCTGCCGCTTCAGCTCCGCCAGGCTTGGCAAAAGCTGATCTCATGCCGCTCGCCGTGCTGGCGTGGATTGGCGGCCGAAAATAGATGCCGCTTTGCCCATCTTCCCTGGCACCCACCCCGATGTCAGCTCTATCGGGAGATCTCTCTCGCCGTCCGCTTGGAAGCTCAACCGACACGGCGCATGTCGGCGGCGGCATCGTGCCACAGATCCGACTGGCTCCACACGGCTGCTACGATGGTGACCACCATCCAGGCACCCGCCTCGTCGCGGCGCATGCTTGCCTCGTCGTCGTCGGCGGTGGAATCGTCCGGCTTGGTGCGCGATCGCAACGCCTTTCGTCGGATCCTCGAGAGAGTGATGGCGGCCACACACGCACGTGCGAGCGTGCGCAGCGTGCTGATCTCCTCGCTCACCAGCCGCGAGTCGAGACGCATCAGCAATGCAAACAGCCACCTTGCATGCAGTGCCTGTACAACCTCGTCTGGGCTGCCGCCGTGGCTGTCGGGTATGGGCACGCGATGCGCGAGCCAGTACGGAAAAGCCTCTAGCAAGCCCAAGATCTGTTCTGTGCTGAGGCGCAGCAGCAGGGCACCGCTGGGCTCGCGTATCCGCCATTCGTGCGCCTTGCTCGCCTGCTTGGCCACCTCTTCTGCCGACGTTGGCGGTGGTGGCCGCCCGTGGATCCACGCATACCACGCACTGCTGTTGCCGATCTTGGGCAGGTCGTCCTTGCTCAGCTTGACCGGCGCTGTGGGAGGATTGCTGAGCGCCTCGCGTGCGTTGCGGAAATGCGTCTCGAACACCGACCTCCATTCGTGCGACGGCATGAGCAGCGCATCGTCAGTGCTGCCTTGCAGTTGAGAGCTGGTGCCTAGCGGTGATGCCTCAGCATCGGCTATGGCTTGAGCGTACGGATTGTGTGCGGCGAAAGAGATGGTGGGAGCGGCGGCTGCTTCTCGCCTCACGATGGCGAGGTACTCTTCACCGTCGGCAGGCTCGCCCGAGAAGTCGCGCGGCAGATCGGCGACGGGCAGCGATTGGACGCCGAACGACTCGTCTGGTCTGGCGTGTGAGCTTTGGCCGTGCTCGCTGTACCTCGGCTTCTTGTGTGCTCGATCGTTCGCTGTCGACGCCATGTTGAGGGGCTTGCGTAGGGCTCGAATCGCGCTGGTTCGATGGAGGAGCTGCGCCAACAGCGAGCCTTCTTTTCTTCTCGTTCCAGGGTCCATCGGCAAGTTTTGAGGTGGAGGCTTCAGCCTCGATTTTTTGATCTATGTCAGATCGCGTAAGTGTACACTGGTCGAAAAAACGGGTCCGAGGAAAGTGGCTCGTTTTCGGGAAGAAGTCGACATTTTCGCCGCCATCCTCCGCACGTCTTGCTGCTCCCTCATCGTCTCTGACCCGTCACTCTCGTCTTCTTCATCACGGTCCGCCTGTCCCGCAGACACGAGGACACACCAGACATGCCGGTCCGACCCAACGCACGCGTGCTGCGCGACATGGCCACACGCCAGGCCGTGCAGTCCAACGAACTCGTGCGTCGCGCGTTCAAGTACATCGCACGCAACACCACCTTGCCGCAAAAGGTGCGCCACCAGGCACAACTTCAGCTCAACCAGTTCCCCAACAAGACCCGACCCGTCAGCGTCTCCAATCGCTGCGTAGAGACCGGCCGAGGCCGCGGCATCATCTCCGAGTTCGGCCTGTGCAGAGTAAGTTTTGTTCCTCGTCGACCTGTCTAACTGGCTAGATGGGAATGCTGATCTGTTTCTTAACTTACGCAAAACAGTACCAGTTCCGCATGAAGGCGCTAGCAAACGAGCTGCCCGGCGTCAAGAAGGCTTCGTGGTAGACCGACCCTCGAAGCTAAGCATCAAACCCGTTCGTCGTTCCGACTCTGTACACTAGCGAAAAAGGCGTAACACATTCAACGCTGAAGCAGATCTCGGCGTGGTCGTGTGTACGTTTGCATGATTCTCTGGCAGCAAAAGTATCATGCAGCCTTACGAAGCGCGGCTGGAAGCTGGCGAGGACAAATCAGTGACCTTGGATGTGGATGCTTTTGCGCTTTGGCAGCTATCCTCGGCTCCTTTGCTATGTGCCGCGTCTTCATCGAGGGATGGATCTGTGCGACTCTCGCATGCTTTGAAGCGCTGAGCAACAGATATGGATGCCAAAGTCGAGGGTGTTCCCGGTTCATGAGAGATAGGCTTTGAGCCTCGCTAGATTTCTTCGTCACACAGACTCACCAACGAGTCCAACTCCCGTCTTCGGAAGCAACATATCTCCAAGCTCTCGTCCCTACCTGACACCGAGCGCGCTGTAGCTTTGCTCACGACGATCATCACAGCTTGTCCCCACGAACGAAGCCAGCTCGTCTCCATGAAGAGCGAAGCAAAGTTGAGGCCGGTCCCACTCGTGGTCTCAACTCTAACAGCAATTCGCGTTTTCTTTTTCGCGCTCGGAAATCGGCGTTAAATGCGACGCTTCTGTCAAGCATCGGCGCCATCGTTGCTCAACACCTTGTCCTCTGCCATCCGCATCCACACTATCCCCCACACCGCGGTTCTTGGTTGCGATACCCCGCCATGGCGATGTACCAGGACGACGCGCAAGACACGGGTCTGCGCGGACCCGTGCCGCGCGATGCACGCCTCATCGCGCTCATCCTCGCCTCGATGGGCGTCTCGGACGTTGAACCAGCCGTCCTACTGCAGCTGCTCGAGTTCGCTCACCGCTACACGTACGACGTTCTGTCCGACGCGCTCGTCTACGCAGACCATGCCAGCGCCCGTCAAGCCTCCAGCAGCCTTTCCCTCGACGACGTCAATCTCGCAATCCAATCGCGCGTCAACTATTCGTTCACCAAACCCCCCGAAAAAGACGTAAGCCCCCTTTCCCCCAACTCCCCGTGCCGCTCTCGTAGACCAGATGCTGAGCGTGATTGTTCCAACAGATGCTGCTGGCACTTGCAAGCACGGTAAACGCGATCCCGCTGCCGCCTATTTCGGACCGACACGGCGTGAGGTTGCCGCCGGCAGCTCACTGCCTCACCAATGTCAACTTTAGCTTGGTCCCCAACCCTCCCCCTGCGGACGCGGAGGAGTTTGAAGATACAACACTCCTGCATCAGTCGCAACAACAAACACAAACACAGGCACAGAGCACACAGACTTCATCGCTCTTCGATGCGAATACTGCACACGATGATGGCGATGTGTCCATGACCGCTACCCAACCATCCCAACTCACCGCACCCAGCCAGTCCGACGATGCAAGAGGCACAAAACGAAGCCTCGACGAAGACGAAGACTACGACTGAATCACCCCCGCACCCTCCGACTTTGTATTTTTAGCCCTTGTCGAAACCTTCAATCGGTCACATGGTCATTTGCGTGTTGGTGATCATGTGTATTTCCAGCAACCTACGGCCTACTGCTGTGGTTGGGTGTAGGCCGCAGCGGCACTTCCGTCCTGAGCTGCAGCAGCCGCTTGCATGCGGTAGTATTCCTCCCACTCCTTGGTATAGTCGACGCCTCCTGCGTCTCCCGCTGCGGCTGCCTGGGCGGCATTCGGATCCGCATACGCCGCCTGGGCTGCGTAGTACGCCGCCCACTCGGCAGAGTAGTCCTTCTGCTCTCCCTCTTGCCCCGCAGCCGCACTCGCCTGCTGTCCACCCTGGTCATAACCGGCATACTGCTGCTGCTGCTGCTGCTGCTGCTGCTG